CTCCCCCCCCCCCCCCCTCATAGATCTAGACAGTTGTTCTGTGTTAACTAACACAGACCGCATCTTCACTGCTGCTATAGAGGTGTATTCGACGATAAATTTTATATTTTAATATATTTAATAAAGTTTTTATTTTATTTTATTTTATAAAATGTAATATTATGCAAAATTTTAAACAAAAAAATACTGAAATGCAGCTCGCCTGCTCGAACAACCACAGCAGCATTTCGATGCTGCCGATACAGCTTTCCCGCTGCAGCAGCAGCAGCAGCAGCAGCAGCAGCAGCAATATTATAAAAATATTAAAAGGAATATTGTTATATATATTAAAAAAATTAAAAAAAATATTAAAAGGAATGTTGTTATAGATATTAATAACATTATTAGCAGCAGCATTCTGCTGCAGCAACATTACTATAGCAGCAAGAGCAGCAGCAGCAACACCACCATCAATACCCGCAGCAGCAGCAACAGCAGCAACAATATGAATGCATGCAGCAGCAACACTAACAGCAACAGTTTCAGCAATACCGCCACCATCGTCAGCAACATTAGTAATACCAATAGCAGCAGCAACAGCAGCAGCAACAGCAGCAGCAACAGCAGCAGCAACAGCAGCAGCAACAGCAGCAGCAGTAGCAGCAGCAATAACAGCAGCAATAGCAGAAACAACATTAACATCAATAGCAGCAGCAATACCAGCAACAGCATTAACATCGCAGCAGCACAAAACCCTAAACCCTAAACCCTAAACCCTAAACCCTAAACCCTTGAAGGAAGGCATTTTGTCGGGTTATATTTCGTTAGTATAAGTGGTTAGGGTTTAGGGTTTAGGGTTTAGGGTTTAGGGTTTAGGGTTTCTGTCTGTGCATGTTATAACTCCATAATTTGTTCTTTTTTTATCTCAATGGCTTCTTCATGCCTCTGCAGAGAAAATGATAGAAACGCCCTACGGCTGTTGCTGCTGCTGCTGCTGCTGCTGCTGCTGTTGCTGCTGCTGCTGTTGCTGCTGCTGCTGTTGCTGCTGCTGCTGCTGCTGCGGTTGCTGCTGTTGCTGCTGCTGCTGCTGTTGCTGCTCTATAAGTGTTGCAACGACCCCCAGACGACAGCGCTTGCAGACGTGCATAGTTTGGCTGTTGAGTTGCGATGAAGAACTATTGTTACACTATTTTACCTTCAGAATAAAAAAGTAAAATAAATATTTATTTGTTTAAATACAACTAAATATTTATTTTGGTTTTTTATTCTGAAGGTTAAAAGATGAATTTTCGTTTAGTTTCTCCCTGGAGTGCGGGTGCTGAGTGCAGCAATTCATCTTTTTTTTTTTCTGCGTTTTTCACATGAATACAAACAGAGCGATTAAAAAAACCAGAAAACATAAAACTGAGATATTTATAACGCATAAGTACAACTTGAAATAGAAGAAAAAGTCAAAGAATTGCGGCAGAAAAGAGAAAAAGAAAACGTGCATGAATGGGGTGTATGCACAGCTGCGCATACACCTGAACATGGTTGCTCTTGCACCGCATCCCTGTGCATATGCATTTCTGTGTTTTTTTGTGTTTATATGTTTCTTTTTGTTTCTTTAAAACATTAAATACATTATAATGGAGAACGAGGTAAGTTATTTCTCCCCGCTTTCCACCTGAAACGCAGCAAAATATAAAAAAATAAATCAGAGGCTGAGAGCTGCTGCAGTCGCGTTTCTATCACATAGGCGACAACAAAACCTCAACAAAAATTTTTTTTCTGAAAATTTTAAAAATATTTGCTGCAGTTGCAGCAGCAGCACAGGAGAAACCGAAAAAATAAAAACAAAGCAAAGGCAGCGAGAAGATATACAGAAAATGCAGGGGGTTCAGCAGCACCACCCAAATGAAACACAACAAAAACAACAACAAAAACAAGAAGAAATACAAAAAAAAAATATAATACCCATGCAACAACCCTGGACGCATGCAGCAGCAATGGAGTCCCCATCAACAAAAACAAATTCATTTGTTTCTCCCTCTATTTCTCCTTCTGTTTCTTCTTGTGTTTCTTCATCTGGGTTTGCATCGGTAAGCAAGAAAAAAAGAAAAAGCTGCGGTGTATGTACAGCTGTTTTTTTATTAAACTTTTTGCTTTCTCGCTGCAGCAACCAGACATATGTGAAACTCTTAAAATTCAAGCTATCACTCTTTTGTATGAACAAAGAAGACAACGCAAACAAATAAAAAGAAAAAGAACAGACGAAAGGAGAAATACAGATACATGTATTTTTTTTATTTTATTTTATTTTGTTTTATTTTATTTTATTTTATTTTATTTTTTTTTTTTTTCTTTTTAGGCAGATACAATGATGGCTCTGTACACTACCTGCTGCAGGAAGCAGCAGCAAACGAATTCGTTGCTGCTTCTCCCTCTTCTCATTTTGCTGCTGCTGCTGCTGCTGCTGCTGCTGCTTCCTCTCCTCTTTCTGCTGCTGCTGCTGCTGCTCCTTCCTTTCATCTTCCTGCTGCTGCTGCTGCTGCTGCTGCTGCTCCTTTTTATTTTGCTGCTGCAACCGAAAAGGAGAAAGAAGAAGATGAAGGCCTCTCGCTGCGTCTCCCTCATTGCCTGCCCCCATCAGCGGTGTGTATAAGAATAAACCCTAAACCCTAAACCCTAAACCCTAAACCCTAAACCCTAAACCCTAGAAAAAAAAATAAAAAAAAACAAAACTCATAAAGATATTCAGATTAAAACAACGCAAAAATTTCATTTATTAGAAGCGGGAAAATCAACAACAAGAGGAAGCGGAAATCTTACACAAATCATTAAAGGTATACAAACCCTAAACCCTAAACCCTAAACCCTAAACCCTAAACCCTAAACCCTAAACCCTAAACCCTAAA